CTTCTTTATTTTTCTTTTAAAATTATCATTATCATTGGTCATCTTAATATAGTCTGGCAATTCGTTATATATTTGGGTAGCACTCCATATGACATTTTCTCTCAAATTTTTTTTTCTATTGCGTTCAATGTGAAAATTGTTGTGTTGTCTAGTGTAGTGTTCATGTATATCTTGATTTATGTCTATTGTTGTGCTTGTTTTAATTCGGTTAAATTTCATTTTGTGTATTAGTTTGCATTTCTCTATTTTAATTATGTTATTTAGTGAATGATTATTTGTTTCTCTCTGTAAGTACACTCTAGTAGTCTCTTACATCACCTGTATTGTTATTTACAATAATATTCTGGTTACTTCAGGTTGGCAAAGAATTCACATCTCGTGTGGATTTAGACCGTTCATCCTGGCGTGCACCAGACTTCTTCCCTGCTTCGTGCGCACTTTTACCAGCCTGTGTTAGCCATCGTGATGCTGTTGTAAATGCTTTTGTATATGTCCACCAGACCCTGCACAAGGCCAACGCCAGGTTGGCGAAACGTGGAGGACGTACTGCTGCCATCACACCTAGGTAGATAATAGAAACATAGTAAATAACAAATTCGAAAGGACTTCTGATATATTCTTGTTTTTTGCAGGCATTATTTGGACTTTATCCATCATTTCGTAAAACTGTACTCTGAGAAGAGAAGCGACTTGGAGGAACAGCAGTTGCATTTGAACGTTGGTCTGAATAAAATTGCAGAAACTGTGGAGCAAGTCGAGGAGATGCAGAAGAGCCTTGCTGTTAAATCACAGGTGATTAGAAATAGTTAGTGGCACTATGCTTTATGGCAAGTTGCATAAAAATGAATAACTATTGGTGCAACTAACATTTAGGTTTTTATAATAGATTTTTGAAATTTTAACATGGCCCAAAATTTTTAACTTCCCGAAGGAGATGTTTATGTTTTCATCAAAAAATCCCATTCGCTAATTTTATGTTTTCTCGACGTTTCAAGCCATTCTGAATCGAATGAGACCAAATTTGGAAAAAGTATGTGTGTGTGTGTGTGTATGTGAACAGATTTTTTGCCGTAAATCGACGTTTTCTCCAAAAACGGCTGGAACGATTTCAAAAATTTAAAAGTCATTCGATGTATCTCGATGAGGACTATCGTTTCTGAGTTTTGTGCGGCGATCGGCCGGGCCGTTTCTTTGTAAATTGCAGAAAAGTCAAAAAATTTTCGTCCACGTTTTAGCCTGCAATTCTGAATCGATTCTGAAATTCAAAAACCATTCGATAGATATTGGTTGGGAATCGTGCTGATTAGTTTTTGGTAAAACTTTGATAAAGATAAACTTGGTAAAGATTGGCCGGGCCGTTTTCTTGTAATAAAGTTTTTAAAAAAAAAATTTCGATGATTTTTATGATTTTTTTTTTGACGGTAGATACCATAGTTTTCTAGGTCATACTAAAATATTACGGCCCTACGACAACTCGTTTAGCTTTAAAAATTCGTCAAACTTTGCAAAAATTGGTATCGTTTTATTGACATTTGTCAAAATAAAGTCTTTGATCGACGTTTTCTTAAAAACGCCTGAACCGATTTTAGAAATTTAAAAGCCATTTGATGTATTTCGGTGAGGACTATCGTTTGTCAGTTTTGTGCGACGATTTGCCAAGCCGTTTCTCTATAATTTGAAAAATAGTGTTAAACTTTTCGTCCACATTTAAGCTCATCCTACCGAACCGATTTTAAAAAATCAAAAACTGTTCGAAAGATATTAGTTGGGAATGGTACCGATTAGTTTTAGGTGAAAATCTACGGAGCCGTTTTCTTGTAATTAACTGTTGAAAAAAAAATTTAAATCGATTTTTATGGATTTTTTTTAGTGATATACCATGGTCTTATAGAACTTACTGAAATATTACGGCCTTACGACAAATAGTTTGATTTAAAAATTCATCAAAGTTTGAGAAAATGAGTAGTGCTTTTGAGATTTGTTAAAATTAAAATTAGACTATTTACTTGGTATAACGCTAGAGTACTTGGTCTTAATAAACATAATAAACCATTAAAGTTCTGAAAACTGGTTTCATTATATAAAATTTGCTTTTAGAAAATACTCCGAGTCAAAGTGTTTCGTTCGTTTCAATTATGTGTAATAAATCCACTCGGAATACTTTTAATGACGTATAAATTAATTAATTTATTTTTTATTGATTATGTCGATTATTTAAACATATCGGGAAGTTTATGTAACTTGCCTCAAGGCTAAATACCAAACCAACTAGTTTTTACATAAACGACTTATTACTTACTTACCTTCTTTATCAAACCAACTTTCTTTTGGGACTGGGGTATTTTATATCGTTTTCTTTTTTTTCAGGAGTTGCAAGCCAAGAACGATGCTGCCAATGCTAATTGAAGCAAATGATGAAAGATCAGCAAGAAGCTGAAAAGAAGAAGGTTTCAGTCTCAAGAAATTCAAGTGGCACTTTCTAAACAAACTGTGCAAATTGAAGAAAAGCGTTTAAGGATGTTATGGCAGATCTGGAAAAAGTCGAACGGCTCTGTTATTGATGCCCAAACAGGTAGGATAGAAAATTTATTTTGCTTTTTTGTATTATTCCTATTGTAGTAATAATAGATTTATTTTATCAGGCAGATTATATTTTTATAATGCATATATAAACGTATCTCGTTTAAACTCTAAATTAGATTTTGCGATCTTTGTTGCTTCTAAAATGAAATTATTTTACTAGTGCAGAAAACGGAGCGTTTTGGGTCTGATTTTTTTATACTGTGCTACGAATTGCATGAAATTTTGGAATTAGGTTCATCTTACCCTCAAGTTCAAAAGTGAAAACAATTCGGGTTCCGGGGGAATGACCCCCCTTCTCAATGGTGTAATTACATTTTGTCAAAATAACGTCGGAAATCGATAGAAGAACTAATTATAAGAAAAAAATGTCTTTTATAGTTTCACAAAAGAAACTAATACTTTTCATGTTACTGACCACTCAAAATTCATATATTTTTGGCGTCTTTCTTCGTTTTTTTGCAAATATCTCTTAAAATATACATTTTAACGAAAATCACGTAATGAACAAAATAATGTCAATAAAAATCTTAATGAATCGGTATTACATAAAGTGTTCTAGAAAAAATATTAAGCAAGATTTGAAAGAGCAAAGTCGCTTTTTACTTCGTTCAAGTTTTAATTGTTGTATTTAAAGCCAGCTACTGGCGAGATTTTACATTTTATGCATTTCGGTGAAATTGGGTTTTATAGTGCTCAACATAAGCTTTAAAATGAGTGCAGTTACAAGTTTTTTGCGTGTAAAATGACTGAGCTATCATGCAAATAAGAAGCATATACTATGTTTTTTCCTTTTAAATCGTATGGTTTAATAAGCGCCATTTCCACCAGAATTAAAGTAATCACACATTCCGTCTAGAATTCACTTCATTATAGACATCCTGATGAATTGTGGCAGATTCACTACTTTAGTACAAAATATTTTCAGAAAACTCACGATTTTATAAAAACTTTTTTTCCCGATTTTTTTTAAAATCGAACTTGTTTTCATTATATCTCAAAAAGAATATAAGATACGTATAAAAGCATATACATAAAAATCAAAGGGATCTTTCTGGTTTATTATTGTTTTTCATTATTTTTATACATTATTTTTATACATTTATTTTTTTTACAAAATTTTGTATTATTCGGTTGATTGTGAAATGTATTTATCTTCACATGGTACAGAATTTTGGCAGGCGATTTATTCTTATATAGTAAAGTATCTTATGGCTGAGAGGTTCACGTGTTAATTAATTAATATAGTTTTATATCACTCTAGTCACATGAAAGTTTAATATTGCAGTAATAGAACAACAAATGTACGAGTTTAGACAAAATTATACTGGGTATTAGTGTCATATTAACTGTTTTTATTCAAGGGTTAGTTTAAGAGGTGAACAAATTATGGATATGGTAATTATTTTCGGGAAATTGAAATAACATTCATATTATTTTGAATTTCTTAATTTTCTCTCAATTTCAAAATAATTTTTTCAAACAATTTTTCATCAAAGGGTTGTTTTTAAGGGTCTAAAAAGATTCAAAATTCGATAATCAAGATAGAAAACATGAAATATTATTTACTCTATACGTAATTCTTATTTATATCATACCGAAATTTATTTTTAAGAGTTTTTTTTCAATTTAGAGGGTGTTTGAAGGGTTTTAGGGTTTTCACGGAGTTGAAAATGATTTTATTGCAAGGTAAATGTATTAAAAATATTTTTTAAATATATACTTTAATATTAAAAACGTTTTCTAGCGATAATGTCACTTATTTATTGAGAAGTACCAACCCCCCCCCCCCCGGGGGCTGGTGGCGCAACCCGAATTGTTTTCACTTTTGAACTTGAGGTTTAGATGAACCTAATTCCAAAATTTCATGCAATTCGGAGCACAGTAAAAAAAATCAGAGTTTATACCATTTTTGCTCGCCGTTTACTGCACTATACATTATTTTCAAATTTGAATGATCAATGACGAAACTATTCCTAAGTTAGGAACGTCCTAAAAGGCAGTTTACACTAATTGTTTTTTCTAATGGATACAAATATGTAATTAAGCATTTTACTTCAAAATAACACTTTCTACGACCTAATAAAGCTGTAAAGTCCATCAAGAAGCAACAGCTGGTGGAGGTTCGTTCTATGGCAAATCCTCCAGCCATCGTTAAATTAGCATTGGAATCGATCTGTCTACTTCTTGGAGAGAGTGCCCTGGACTGGAAGGCCATCAGATCTGTCCTGATGAGAGACAATTTGTACCCACTATTGTCAACTTCAACACTTCGAATATCACGTACGCGAAATCAATATTAGAGTCATCTTTATGAATATAAATGCAGCGCTGCTACTAGATATTGCTAAAACTTTCCTTCTTCTTCTCTATTAACTTGATTAGAATAGTCGGAGTATTATATATTGTGGCATGGGTGAAGATGAGATTTTGATATGTGGAGTTTAATTATCGGTGATTATTAACCAGTTAATTGATGAGATTATATAACTAGTTGGTATTGGTCTTTTGCCTTAAGGCAAGTTACATGAACTTTCCGATATATGTAAATAATTGACTTAATCAATAAAAAATTGATTAATTTATTAGTGATCAAAAGTATTCCGAGTGGATTTATTATACATAACTGGAAACGAACAAGGAGTATTTTCTAAAAGCAAATTTTCAAAAATCAATAATTTTTATAATTGAACCAGTTTCGGGGACATTAATGGTTCGGTAAATTCATTAAGACCAAGTGCTCTATCGTTATACCAAGTAAATCGCCTAATTTTAATTTTAACAAACGTCAAAAAAAATTACTCATTTTCTCAAATTTTTGATGAATTTTTAAAACTAAACTACTTGTCGTAAGACCGTAATATTTCAGTAAGTTCTATAAGATCATGATATATATCGCCCCAAAAAAGTTTCATAAATTTCGTATTAAATTTTGTTTTCAACAGTTAATTACAAGAACACGGCTCGGTAGATTTTTACCTAAAACTAATCAGTGTCATTCCCAACTAATATTTTTCGAACAGTTTTTGATTTTTTTTTAAATCTATTCGGTAGTATGAGCTTAAATGTGGACGAAAAGTTTAACATTTTTTTTTTCAAATTACAAAGAAGCGGCTTGGCAGATCGTCTCACAAAACTAACAAACGATAATCCTCATCGAGATACATCAAATGGTTTTTAAATTTATGTAATCGGTTCAGGCGTTTTTGAGTAAACGTCGATGAAAGGTCTAATTTAGACAAACGCTCAAAAACGATACTAATTTTTGAAAACTTTGACGAAATTTTAAAATTAAACGACTTGTCGTAGGGCCGTAATATTTTAGTATGATCTAGAAGACTATGGTATCTATTGTCAAAAAAAAATTAATAAAAATCATCGAAAAAAAAAAATTAACACTTTATTACAAGAAAACGGCCCGGCCGATTTTTATCAAAAACTTATCAGGTCGATTCTCAACCAATATCTTTCGAACGGTTTTTGAATTTTCAAAATCGATTCAGAATTGCGAGCTAAAACGTGGACGAAAAAATTTTCACTTTTTTGCTATTTACAAAAAATCGGCTTGGCTGATCGTCGCGCAAAATTGATAAACCCTAGTCTTTATCTAAATACATCGAATGGCTTTTAAATTTTTGAAATCTGTGCAACCGTTTTTGAGAAAACGTCGATTGACGGTAAAAAAATGTGTTCACATACACACACACACACACATACTTTTTCCAAATTTGGTCTCATTCGATTCAGAATGGCTTGAAACGTCAAGAAAACATAAAATTAGCCAATCTGTTTTTTTTGATGAAAACATAAACGTCTCCTTCGGAAAGTTAATATTTTTTTTATCCCACGTTTTAAGTCATTCTCAATCGTTTGACACCAAAGTTACAAAAAGTATGTAGGTGTGATCAACAATTTGATCTTTTTTTTTTTGATGATTTACGGATTTATTTAAATTAGAAGGAAGAAGAGGTCCTTGCACGTACCCTTGCGGAACACCTATTTTTATAATTAAATTCTCAGAAACAAATTTTCCTTACTTGTGTTCTTTTGCGGTTAAATATCATTAGTAGAGTAATTAATATTTTGAATAAAAATATAAGTAATACCAAAAATTAATTTTGTCGCAATTTTATAATATAATTTTAATAAATTCTCGTCAGAAGCGATATATATTTTGCTTTTGCGAAAGTAACTTTTATCTTCTATTTATACCAAAACTCATTAATTATGTTAGTCGAATGGTTTTAAAGATATATAAAAGCAATTAGTAAAGACATCAAGATCCGTATTATTTAGATGTTTAGAATTCCATTATAATTTTTATAAACGAGACCTATTCAAAAAAAAACTGAATTCAGGTTTTCGGTATCTCGGAATCTTGGTATTGGAATCCCTGATCTTAATAAATTATTATTATTTCGTTAACTGGTTAATACTTCACCAAAACTCCCTCGATGTCTGTAAATAACTGGATTGTGTTGTACAAATGTGTTTGTATGTCTGTTATATAATACTTTGCAGAAAAATTTAGTGCAAAATAGGTGATTGCGTAGTGCATCTCGCATATTGACGTCGTATCATAGTATCCATCAACGTCTTTTTCTTCCTCTTTGTAAATACATATATGCATTCTTTCTAAATTGTGCTAACTGCCTGAGCTAAAACGTATATAAATAATGAAGCTTTTAATTTTTTAACGACTGAGAAACGCATGGAACGAAATATATAATTTATTTATTGTTAAATGTGATTTTTTTCATTGCGTTTATACAGATGCTCTGGAACAAACTGATGAAAATTACTAATTTTACTTTGCTAAATTAAAT